AGGTATTTATTGGCACCTCAGCGGAAGGAATTAGGTCTTCCGATGAGTCCTCGGCACTGTGAACCGTGGGCGTTAGGGAGTTAACATCTGTCACTGGTGGTCTCGATAGCGTGTCCGCGACTACATTCGTGCTACCTGGTTTATAAATTAACTCGTAATTATATTCTTCTAACTGTGCCTTCCACTTCTTCATCTTCACATTTGTGTTCTTGTTGCTTAGCGCAAATGTCAAAGGTTGATGGTCGGTAAATATCTTTATGCTTCTTGCTCCATACAAGTAACAATTCAATTCCTTTAAAGCCCAAATTATCGCCAGCATTTCTTTCTCATTTGTCGCATATTCCTCTTCTGCCCTACTGAGAGTTCTAGAAAGGTATGTGATAGGTCTATTGCCTTGAGATAAAACTGCTCCTAAAGCGTATTTCGAGGCGTCAGTAGTGAGTTCAAAGGGCTTATCAAAGTCGGGATAGTTCAAAACGACTTCCTCCGATACCAAACAGTTCTTGAGCTGTTTGAAACTTTCAATCTGTTCGGAATTCAAATTGACACTGATTTTTTTTGACTGGTTTCTCGGGGTTTTCCCTATATCGCCTCTCATCATGGAAGTTAATGGTTTGGCTATTTGAGCATAGCCCCTTATGAATCTCCGATAATGTCCGGTCAAACCCAGGAACGATCGCAAGTCATGAACTGTTCTAGGTTGAGGGAAATTAACTATGGCCTTAAGTCTGTCTGGGTTTGCAGAAAAACCTCCTTCCTTTACATTGAACCCTAAGAAGTCAATTTCTTCCTTTAAGAATTCACTCTTGTCCAAATGAACTTTCAGATTAGAGTCTTCCAAAGTGCGGAATATTATCCTCAAATTTTCAATGTGTTCCTTTTTAGTCCTACCAAATATCAAAATGTCATCAATGTAGACGTAGCACCGTTTCCCTATATGCTCTCTAAGAATATCATCTAGAGCTCTTTGGAATATTGCAGACGCGTTACGTAGTCCAAATGGTAGTCTTGTGAACTCGAACTTTCCATTCTTGACGGAAAAAGCTGTTTTCTCAATATCGGATTCCCTAAGTGGAATCTGATGGAATCCGCTCTTTAAATCTATGGTGGAAAAGTATTTCTGTTCGCCTAAGTTAGCCAAGATTTCTGTAATTTCAGGTATGGGGTATCTGTCAGGTCTAGTTATCTCATTAAGTTTCCTATAGTCAATAACCATGCGGTATTTTTTCACACCTGAAGCATCTGGTTTTTTTGGTACTATCCAAACTGGAGCATTATATGCGGACCTGGAAGGGCGAATTATCCCGTCCCTTAATAGTTCTTCTATCTGTTTGTCAATTTCGGATTTCAGTGCCATTGGATACGGATAGGATTTTGAATAAACTGGACTATCACTACTCGTATTAATTTCAGCTTGTACGATTGTTGAATAAGTGAGTTTTTTATTGGGATCTGCAAAAAGGTTTGGATGGTCATCCAAAATATTCCTGACTTCTTTTTCATCTTCGGGATTTAGATGATTTAAACGTAGATTCATGTTATTAATCTCATCAATTTGCAGCTCTTTCAAAGGAAATTTCTTTCCATCCAGAATTGTGAGATAGGATCTCCAAGTGTAAATCACTGCATTCAAAGATTTCAGGGTATCATTCCCTATTATCCCATCAAAGGTCTCTAGACCAGGAAGGATGTAAAATTCTAACTTTCCGATCCCGCAATTAAAAATGTCAATAAAACTATGGGTCTCTATACTAACTATGCCGCCTACGGACTTAACATGAAAAGGTTTCTGGTTCTTTAGAGGGTTTCTAATAAATTTGCCATTAATATAATTTTTGTTCGAACCGGTGTCTATAAGAAATTTAAGTTCGTTGCCATTTTTCATTCTGAAAGGGAGGTATGGCAACGTTGAAGCTAGTCTAAAAAATTAACGTCATCTACAATTGCCAACTGATCGTCTAGATCCTCCTCGTACGCTTCGTCATAGGAAACCTCATATTCCTGTTCATCAGAACCATTCATTTCATCCGGCTCTGCATCCTCACGTATTTGGGCCTCAACATTAAACATTCTCTGCTGCTTTTGCGGCTGATGAATATTTCCTGAATTATTTCTCTTAAAGTTAGGCTGAACATTGTTAAAAGCATTACTCAACTGTGGCCTATTCTGATAGTTTACCTGCCTAGTCTGTATTGATTGATCCACGTCCATTGGTACAGCAGGTTTAGGAGGAAGTGGGGGTCTGTATCCTCCGTATTGGGGGTGTCCAAAATTATTCACTACTGGAGGTCGATTCGAAAAGTTCGCCGTCCCTCCGTATTGTTGTTCTCCACTTCGGAAATTCTGATAACGATATTGAGTAGGGCCTCTGTACCTTTGGTCACCTTGAAAATTCCTATCACCAATCGTCAGCTGTGGGTAAAAATGTCTAGGAGGGTTAGTTTGGGGGATCCTGTTTGGTCTAGATCCTTTCTCGGTAGCGTGCTGAATACGCACACCTAGATTACCTAATTTTAAACAGGCATTTAGAGCCTGAGGCAAACTTGTCGGGTTTGTAACACTCATTAAGCTTGGAAGATTACCATTAAGTCCTCGAATAAAGGTGTCCAAAGCCTTGTCCCTATATGTTTGGGTCAATACATCCAAAGCCTCGTTCCCTATATCCAGACAATCAATCTTGTCCAGAATCAAAGACAAATGGTGGTAAACCTTCTGGTAAAAATCTGTTATGGTTTGCCCACCCTGAGATAGGACGGTCATTTGATACTCTAAGGTCGAAATATCTCTCTTATCTGAAAAATGAAGCACTAAACACTTTCTTATCGTTTTCCAATTTAATGGGGTCCGATAAGACTCCAAAGCCGTGTCGGCCTCACCAACAATTTTATGCCTAACAGTGTGTAGAATTGTGAAGTATTTGGTTGTTCCCCTTTGTGACTCATAAATGTTCATGATCCTATCAACAGCTTTCCTCCACGAACTAAATTCTCCTGGCTTGCCCGAGAATTCCCTTAACGTCTTCACTATGTCTGGTATTCTCTCTCCTTCTGAGATATCCCCAGATCCTTCTATGTCGACATCTTTAGTGGCGGTAACATCCTCCCCCTGTTTGAGAAGGTTTGCCACCGTCTCACTTATTATTCGTTTCACCTCATTAGTCTGACTTTCCGTAAAGGGATTAAACCTTACGGGAGCTGCCCCAGAGGGCGAAGATGTCTGTCCTGAAACACTCATAGCTTCGACCCTTGTTATTAAGTTGTTTAAATCTTCCGGCATTGGCCGCTCGAAAAAAAGGAGAAAAAGAAACACCAAATCCTAGTTCTCGTCACAAATCTATTATCAAAATTTCTTTAAACTTATTTCAGCACGGATATGACTCTTTAAATTTGGATGCCACACTCTATTTTTTTGTTTAACTTAATCTAACATTTCATATTTCTTACATTTGTTAATTTCGCACAAATATGATTTTTTTTGTAAATTTAGATGTCACACTTTATTTTTTGTTTTACCTTACTCTAACATTTCTTTCTTCTTACTTTGTTATTTTTGTTAAACGTATTCTAGCACAAATATGATTTTTTGTAAATTAGACTTCACACTTTCACTTTCTGTGTTATTCCTTATTTTGTTTAATTTTATTTTAACATTTCTTCTTTTTTACTTTTGTTAAATTTATAATAACTTACTAATAATAATTTGATCATTTTCCTTATATCCCGGTAGTCCGCTAGTTCTTACGTAACATCCTTTTCGTACTCCTACTCAGGAACGGTTCTCGTACCGGCTGTTGGGATGTTTTAATCCTTGTGGTTGTTGGGTTCTAGGATGTGTTGATCCTTGTAGTTGTTGGGCGCCAGTTAATGTTAGAAGTTAAAGTTTATTTCACACTGCTATGGTGTTTCTTTATTTTGTTACTAACATTTATGTTGCGGTGCTATGCACCTCTCTTGTTGGATTTACAATTATGAATTCCTTCAACTTAAAACTAATATTATACTGCAGCCTGGTCGTGCTCGTTATTACGCTGAGTCATCACTTGCGGTGCGCTGGTATTAGTGCGCGTGTTTGTGGCGGATGACTGCCCTGGTGTCATATTCCTGTTGATTTGTCGGACTGCTTGCGCAGCATAATGATGGGAATGTTTACTAGTTGGTTTGCATATTTAGTTTGATGTTTATTAGGGTGAGCCGTTAACTTATATGAGAGCTATATCCGATCCGATCTCGATAAAATTTGACAGAGGTATTTTTGAGCTCCATAATTTGTGTGGTACCAAATACCATTATTGTGGAGTACATGTTACGCGTGTGAGAAACTTAAAAACCCAAATCGGATGAAACATATATATGTGAGCTATAACTATATCTGAACTGATTTTCACTAAATTTGATGTACTTGCTTCTAGACTGAATTCAGTCAAATGTGCCACAATTCAGGTTATTTGGACTCATATTGACCATTTGGTGCACCACTATGTGGTGTAGGGTATAAATATGTTGTTACAATATCGTGACATAGGTCTTTGTCTAACAGAGCTCAAGGAAATTTCAAGAAAATTCTCTGGGATCGGTTTTTGAGACCATGTCTATCATATCTGTTGCTTTTTTCCGCGGTTTATCACCATGTTTCTCTAATATTTCCAATGCATTTTTTGTATATCGTCGGTCATTGATTGCCTGATCGAGACATTAAAAGGCAATGTGCAAACTTTACAATTTTATGTCCTCTGTAAATTACAGAAAATGCAGAGATGGATGTGTTTTTTGAAATGACTTTACCTTCTTAAATTTACCATACTATAATTATAGCCACGACTGTTAAACACCTACTTCTCATTTTAAAGCATTAATGGGTTAAAATCCGAGAGACAAATAATAACTCTCATAAAAAGTTTACTGTGTTTTGCTCTAAAACTCAGCGACAAAGAAATGAATTACTAATTAAAAGACACGAACGTTACCGCTCTAAATGCCATGACAAAAAAGTAAACAAATTTCATACGGACGTCTCAGTTAGCGAACTAAGCTTAAACGGTTAAAACGTCAAACCAGTTGCGGAACATGTCACAAGATCGTTCGTAAAACGGGATATTTAACAAATAAAAGAAAAAAGAATAATAACAGACGTATACAAAACAAAAGGCAAAGAAGAAGCTGCTACTGCTGTTCAAAAAAATTCCAAACAATAACAAAAAATATTCTTATACCTTCTGAAACTCGATTTTTTATAAAGAAATCTGAATTTATTACACATAAAAATCCCCCTTGAAAGACTGGCATTTGTTTTATTTAACTTCTAGTGCAAAAGAACATCATTTGTGAACAGAATTTGTAATTTGTACAACTGTGTGTGTTGGTGTAGTTGCATGAGCCCCAAGAGTCCCGCCAGTGCTAATAACATGGCAAAGCATTATTGTTTAATAAATTTTATTCTATTTTTGTTTTTTAACAACTCGCCGGCATGTGCACGTAAGTATAACCGTTCAAGCGCCAAAATAACAAAAGAAAATATTCTAAATAGGTATATTCACACCCCATATGAATTCCAACATTCAGTTACTAATCGTTTATTTGTTAATCAATTGAGGTACAGATGAGCCGGGTTATAATGGACATGTTGGGATTGAAAAGTGTGTGTTAGCGTCAAATAATTACAGTTTTTTTAATGAACACGTCAATTCATATAAAATTGTTGCACGTCAGCCAGAGTTCTCTCTATATTGGTTTCACTGTAAATGTAATTCCCATTATAGTTTTACAATGTAACGTTCAAGAGATGAGTTACATCGAAAAATTAAAAATACATATATAAAACCGGATTTGCATTTAGAACACAAAGACACAACAGGAGCTAAGGCCTATATTAAAACTGAGGGGGTCTCAGTGGTAAGGTAAAATAATAAATAGCTTTTGTTATTCCTTATTTTACATAAGCCTAATCCAGAATTGGACGTCAAATTGTATAATCGTCATGTCAACAACAAGACTTACTGGCCAACAAAACTATTTAAAAAAAAATAAAAAACAATTTTATATTTAAGAAAACATTAAAATACGACAAAATTGGCATGAGCTTAGAATCCGCATGAGGGCTAGTAGACCAAAGCCCTAAAAAGGAGCAACAAAAACGCATATAACCATTTTTGTAAAATCTTGGCCAATAAATGGATTACAAATGTATGGGTCTCCCATTTTTTTTGTTTCGAAAACCGAATGTATCTACTTCTGGTGGCACGTAGCTCCGTTCTGCTCAAACCAAATGTTGCCAATATCCTACTCTTCAATTTCAACAGGGCTCGATGAATAAACGACAACTCTTTCTCATTTTCAACGAAAAATGTTCTAATTATGCAAATGGACCAAAATTTCTTACATCTTCAGTTTATGATTACTAAGTGAATAGGTGCTAAGTCGCATTAGCTTACATATCCTTGGTTTACTGAACTCTACTTTTTAAGACTTGATTTGAGTTTACGATACTAAGAAAATCTGATTGAGAGAGATATTTGATTTATGCATATCAGTCCGTCTGTCCATCTATTTTTGTGAACAAAATGCAGGTCGCATTTATTATCCGATTGAGATGAAATTTTCCAAACAATGTTTGTTTGACCAAGGACGCACTCTATTGAATTTGGTGTGAATCGGTTCAAATTTAGATATAACTCCCATATATATTTTCATCCGAGGTTTAAAGTCCCTCTCCAGCCTTATATGCACTCCACAAGAATAACATTTGGTACTAGATAACTTATGGATCTCGAAAATACCTCTGTCAAATTGTATCGAGATCGGATCAGATTAGGATATAACTCCTAATATAATCCTTATCGAAGTCATATCATGCACTATACATTGTTATTTGGATCATAATTGGTATGATCTACTTCACTTAAGTTCCCAATATAAACTTTTTTGTTATGGAAGCTCTACTAAATACGCATAGTGGTGTAGATTATCATATGGTCGGCCCGCCCGACTTTAGACCTTTCCTTACTGTTTTTTTTAAATCTTGTAAGAATTAAGTGAAAATCCCTCTTAGGGAAAGACTTAATCAATCTGAGTAGTAAATGTTTGAAGCAGGAGGCCTGGTCACATATCAGAATAGAGATACAGAACGTAGCCATGCCCAAGGACCCAACACCACCTCTCAATGTATACCAAGTTGTCCAAGGTAGGCTATTAAATATTCGGCTTGCCAACTATAATTTTCTATAGTTGTAAAAAGCTTTTTACAAAAGGCAATCATGTACAATAACTGTCGCCATGCAGATTAAAATAAATATAGCTTCTTCTTTCCATATTATATTGCCATTTCATGACAAATGTTTTTGCAGTCTCTTCAGTTGTCGTTTGAAAAGACAGAAAACTGGTTTCATCTTCAGTTATTTTGTTGAAATTGTAATCGACCAGAGCCAAAACTGTGTTATTAAGTATTTAATGCAATCCTCTTAAGAAACAAGTATTTCTATATAGAGAATGAAGCGAACTGAAGATGTCTTAAGGATAGAGAACGTTAATTATTTCGGAAATATTTTATTCTGTTATTTGTGTTTTGACCTAAATGTTTGATGCTAGAATACTCATTTACCATATACGAATTATGACTTAGATTTTGATTCTGATGTCTAATATTTGTGTTGATGAATATATCTAGGTTGTGTAAACTGCATGGAAAATGTAGGCCAATAAAATGTATACAATAGAAATTATTAAAAGTAATCAAAGGTAAAAAAAAAGTGCCGTCAAGTTTCTTTAGACCTGGGAATTTTTCGTCAGGAATTAATGAAATATTTTCCAGAAAACTACGTTTAATATTTCATTATGGTCATTACGGTATTTCATTTTCGCAAAAGAGTTATCTTGACAATTGGCCAGAACCACAAGATCATGAGAATGTTCGGTGGAATTGTCCAATATTTACGCCCTCTGTTGTTCTAACGAGAATGCTTAAAAGTATGCCAAAATATAAGTTCTAAATCTCCGCTTTTTGACTATACAGGGTGAGATATAAAAATGCAACAACTCAAGCGCCATAATTTTTATTTTTTTTTAAATTTCATTGAATGACAGCAAAAAATTGTCGGAAATAGCATCCAAAATTTTGTAATAAGTTAAGATTTGTTCGAATTGATCACCTTTGGCACGAATTATGGCCGAATGTTGCTCTGAGGTATTTTGGCTCATTCCCGCTTGCTTGAGGTGATCGACACTTTGATATTTTTTAGTGCCAACCTTTCTTTCCAAAATACTCCAGACACAATAGTCCAACGGATTGGTTTCCGAAGATTTTGGTGGTCAAAATGTTCGCGTCCAGGGCTTTAATACACCCTCCAGAATTTTTTTAGCGATAATATTCGGAATTTATTCTGATGGCGGCCCACACCATCACCTGGCCGGCGCTTGAGTTCTGGTGGCCAACCGAATGTGCACATTTTCAGCTGACCTCTTTGGCAAGTAAACACGATCATTTTGTTTGTTTACAAACTGCTGGACAACGAATGTTTTCACATCGGAGTAAACCGAATTCGGCAGTTCACCACTTTTGGCCAAGCGAAGCAACTCTTTAGCTCTTTTAAGTTCTTTATGTTGCGGTGTAAGTTCTTGCACTTTTTGGAATCTCAATGGAATATTGCGATATGTTCAGCTCACGAGCCATTTTTCGGCCACTGCGACGCGGGTTTCGATCAAGTCGCTTCTTTACTTTTCGAACCATTTCTGCTGATGTTGCTGCTTTCTTCCGTCCACTTCCTTGACGTGGGACTACGCTACCAGTATCACGTAATCGGTAACGAGCGATGGTACGAGACACAAAAGATTTTTTAACATTTAAATGCTGGAGTGCTCTAACGATAGCCGCTTGTGGTTTTCCAGCCAAATATAAAGAAATCCATCACGAATAACTTTTTTCTGGAAAATTCTCACCAAAATGCTTTTGTACGCTTGTAAACAATGTAATGAGCTGTCACTGGAATAATTTTAACAGCTGTCGGACGAGTGGCCTAGAAATGACGGCAGTTTGAATTTGGTTGCAGTTTTTCCATCCTACCCTGTATGGCTCTAATATATGAACATCACTCATAGGATTTCTTATTTAAGGCTCCCAAAAGCAGTAATATACATACATACGATGATACAATAACTCACAAACTAATTAAAACATATATATGTTTAAAAACTTTTCCGAATCACTGTATATTTATAAAACCAGATATTTGTGTATTGGATACCATCAAATATCGAACATGGCAACTTATTTTATTTATTTTTTGTTGATGACAATAAATCATTATAGTCTCAACGGCATTGAGTTTGCATGAATGGAACTCATCTATAATGTCTAAGCGAATAGAAAAACAAAAACCATAAACAAATTAATTGACTAATATTTTTATTGCAAATGTGAAAGAATTAAAAAATCTTCCGATTTTATACTAATTACTTATCGTTTTATTATACCCTCCACCATCGAAATAATCATTTAAGACATAACAAAGTAAATATATTCTTGATCAGCGTAAAATTCTAGGACGATTTAGCCCTGTCCATCCGTCCGTCTGTTGTAATCACGCTAGAGTTAAAACGAATAAAGATAGAAAGCTAACATTTTGCACAGATCAGTCTTTCCACGATATCGTATAGCCCCAATACAACGGTACCCCCAATATTCGGTATTTTGATGATTTTAGCCACATTTTCCTATGGAATTGTCGGAAAATCCACACAAGGAGTTCTTTCCGAGTATTTTACCCTCTGGAAAAGAATTGTTTACATAGCCCCCATACAACGAAATTTATTTTTTTGAAAATTTTAAAATTATTTCAAACTGCTTTTTTACTTGTATTATACCTAGAAGGCACATATGTGTATTTTATTAACGCAATTTTTTAACGTTTAAACAGTGTTCGACGAGATTTCTTCATAAACCCCTTAAAACAGGCCATAAATACAAATACAGATGGTGACAAGCGAACCAGTTTTAATGTTATGCTTTTGAATTTCTTCACAGAAATTGTCGCGATTTTATTGATATTCTAATTTGATAAATATTTAAGACACATGACCTCATTCTAGAATCCAACTTATATATAAGTTAGACCGAAGTTTATTATTAACAATATGTTGTATGTCAAATGCTTCTTTCTGTTGACATCTGCTGATCTTAATGTTCATAACACGGATCATATGAAGAATTTTTTATTAATGTCATGGCCGGTCAACACTTGTTATACCCTAACGACACCGGGTATAGATAATATATTTGTGCATTTCTTTGTAAGAAGAACATTAACATTTTTATGATTTACATAGAATCTCTTTCTAACTCGATTTATAGGTGTCTGTCGATTGATAGGTTATCCTCGAAGCATATATACATGATGAATTTTAGGAAGATTCTTATATAAAAGCATATATAGAACAAGTAAAAAAACTGTAAGTTCGGCCGGGCTGAGCTTTGAATATCCTCCACCATTTGGAATGAATTTGGCAATTCTCAAAACAATAAAATCCCTTAAAAATTCTGTTAAAATCTTAAAACTACCGAATGTAGCTGTTATATTAGGGTCTATACGACGGCATGGACCTGCATAGGTAACTTTTGTCATAAGCCATTATAATATTCAAATGCGAAACTTAAAAAAATCGGTGAATAATGTCGCTAAAATCATTAAAATACCGAATATCGGGAGGTACCATTATATGGAGGTTATACGAAGACGTGGACCCACACAGTCAATTTTCAGCCTAAGGCTGTAGTATCCATTACGAACTTAAAATACCAAATTTGAAACAATTCCGGTGAATAAAGTCGCTAAAATCATCAAAACACCGAATATCGGGAGGTACCGTTATATGGAGGCTATACCAAAACGTAGACATACATAAACAATATTCTGTCACAGGCTGTAGTATGCATTACAAACTTCAAATACCAAATTTGAAACAATTCCGGTGAATAATGTAGCTAAAATCATCAAAATACCGAATATCGGAAGGTACCATTATATGGAGGCTATACGAAGACGTGGACCCACACAGACAATTTTCAGTCTGAGGCTGTAGTATCCATTACGAACTTAAAATACCAAATTTGAAACAATTCCGGTGAATAATGTCGTTAAAATCATCAAAATACCGAATATCGGGAGGTACCGTTATATGGGGGCTATACCAAAACGTGAACCTACAGGGCCCATTTTCAATACCAAAAGTCCCGCATACATAATATACATTTGGGTAAAATTTGTCAATCCACTTAATTTCGTTCGGAAGCAAGAGTTATTTCCACTGACGGACATACGGATAGACGTACACACGGACGGAAATCGTTAAAACGACATAGAATCTTATGATGATCAAGAATATATATACTTTGTGGGGTCTAAAATGTATATTTCGAGGTGTTACAAATGGAATGGCAAACTTAATATGCCCTCCATACTATGGTGAAGGGGATAAAAAAGAGGAATCGAATCAAATTAAGATATAGTTCCCGCATTTGCTAAAATTCAATCACAACTCCCATTTATATATATTCTTGGTAAATTGGTTGACATAAAAACGCCACAAATTTGGGTTTTCCATTATATGAGCTATGAGCTAAACTGGATACCTCTCAGTAGGAAATGTAGCTAGGAAAAAGGTTTTAAAATATCAAATTATTATCAAAAATGCTTTATGGTAGCATTTATGTCCATCTTTCTAGTATACAAATTGGCTAGTTTCAGTTATTTGGAGGAAATCTGCGAAATTCCGAAAATCAGAAATCTGCATGCACTACTTATTATCAATGAGCAATTTAATCGCAAAACCAATTATGAAAAAAAAGGTCACAAAATCTATATTAACAACATAATTGACATCTTTTTATGCGATTTTTTAGATTTTATTCTTTTATGCCAAGAGGGCATTCTGAATTCACAAAATTTGTCAAAATCGGTCGAGCCATTCTTGAGATATAAGCATTCTATATATCGCTCTATATATCCAATATATTTACTATTGGCATCTACGTAACGGTCAGAATTGACCTTTTCGTCTATTTGTGATTTCGCCGCGATTAAAAATATTCGCGTTTAGTGGAAAATTCGACTTTTATTTAACTCAAATTTTATGGTCTATTTCACCCACTAAATATTACCCGATGACCATCAAAATTGGAAGACTTCTGCCCAGCCCTAAGCTCTAGCCCCGCTTCGATTCGTTCATAATTGCGACCTGTAGAACAACTGCAAAATCAGGAAATTTTTCAGTTTTTGGTCCGTTTCAACCCCTAAATTTTATGCGATAATCTCCAACAGCAATAGGCTTCTATTCTGGCTCTAGCCCCACCTCCATTCTAAATTTCGTGAAGATCGGGCCATAATTGCGACCTGTAGAGTAATTAGAAATTAACATGGACAGACGGACAAACATAGCTAGATCGTCTCAGCTCGGCGAGTTAGGAAGATCCTATGTGGGAAACCAATATTTCGAGGTGTTACATAATTTTTGGCCCAATCAAACTTATAATACCCCCAACACATAGTGTTTGAATTTAAAACGAAACCGATGAAAAACGTGGCCTGTAGGAAAACATAGACCTATATGACAATGATATGTCACAGAAGGTAAAACACAGCACAAACTGTAAATACTACTATCAAAAAAATTACGTCAAAAAATGTAGCTTGTATTACGAAAACGTACACCGACATGGCCTATTTGCGAACGAAAAATTGTAGCCTTCGATCTTAATTCGTTTCTAAGATAGAGTGAATACAAACAACAGACGGACATCGTGGTAAAAAGTATTGGATTATTGCAGTTCTGGAACATACCATTACTTGTGGAGAAAAATTATTATTTTTACAAAGGGGTAGGCTGAAAAAGACTATAGTTTCAGAAAGAATCGCCAATATATTATATTAACAACAATTCCCTCTTACAAAAAAAATGGCACCCATATGGCGAACGTGAGCCCAATAGAAGAGTAACTAAGACTTAACAAGAATAATTTTGGATTTTTTTCTAAAGAAAAATTACTCTTAATTACCAAAATTATTACTCTTAATTACCAAAACACAACGCGGTATTAAGGCACTCTATTTTGAATAACAAGAAAGCTTTTCATTTAAATACTGTTTTTAATTCAAAATATTTATACGAAATATAAAAAATCGATTTGTTCCAAAGTTACAGCATTTTCATAAAAAACAAGTAAGCAAAGGCTATATTCGTGCGGGGCCGACCATGTGATACCCTACAACACTACAATATGTTAGAAGTCCCTTTATGTCCAAATCCATTTTGGAAGATTTCGCTTTTGAAATTATGTCACGGAGCACTGACCAGATATTACCCTTAGCATTTTGAACTGGGACATTTGCCCAATATTTACGCACTCCGTCGTGCTCTTAGTTGTTGTGGTCCTTTTTACAGCTAAATATAATCCAATGGTCATCCAAGATGCTAGAATTCTTCCCTGTCCTTAACTCCCTTCTTAAGCGTGTCGATTGGCTTCAATTGTGTGATCAGGCATTTGTTCTGTTTTTGGTCCATTTAAACACCCAAATATATTGTGGACATCTATAAAAACAATAGGCCTAGCCCTTCTGAGCCTAACCCTACCCTTGTAAGTATGAAAAAAATAAAAAAAAAAAATCACAAAATACTACAAAATCTATATTAACATCATTTTTGGCACCCTTTTATGCGATTTTTTAGATTTTATTCTTTTATGCCAATAAGGCATTCTGAATTGACAAAATTTGTCAAAATCGGTCCAGCCATTCTCGAGATGTAAGCATTCTAGCTAACATCCCCTTTCTTTGTATATATACATTGTATATATTTCGCTACATATATCCGATATATTTAATATCGGCATCTACGAAACGGTCAGGATTGATCTGTTCGTCTATTTATAATTTCGCCGGGATTAAAAATATTCGCAGTTAGTGGAAAATTCGACTTTTATTTAACACAAGTGTTATGGTCCATTTCACCCACTAAATATTATCCGATGACCACCAAAATTGGAAGACTTCTGCCCAGCACTAAGCTAAATTCGTCGTCGATTGGTCTATTCTTACGATCTGTAGAGCAACTGCAAAATCAGGAAATTTTTCAGTTTTTGGTCCATTTCGACCCCTAAATATTATGCGATCATCTCCAAAAGCAATAGGATTCTATTCTGGTTCTAGCTCCACCTCTATTCGAAGATCGGACCATAATTGCGACCTGTAGAGTGATTACAAATTAACATGGACAGGCGGACAGACGGACGGACATACATAGCTAGATCGACTCAGCTCGCGAGATAAAAATCTATTTTTAATAACTATTGTCCGCATTGACGTTAAGTGCTTCCAGCCGAAGAAGTGATAATCTGCTGATTATACCCGACTTCCAACCAGATCGTTCTAAAGTGGGGTGCAGCTGTACGGCCCAATCATGTAGAAGTGGGATAGTTCTGTCAAGGATGCTATTCTGTTATTCCAAAAATGAAGCGGCTTTGATTTTCATCATTCATCATTTTCATACCATTATTTCAATTTAATAATTTCAAATCAAATGTGTTACATTTTTTGCTTAATATTAATTTCCTCTCTAATTTTTAACAGAAGTTCACTTTCCCAATGGTCATGTTGATGTGCCAAATTTTGGACGTTGCGTTACACCGAATCGTGAAAGGGCATTGTGCATCATTTTGGAAGATTGTAAATATCTGTACAATGTATTGATAACACCGCCATTGAGAGATGCCGATCGTTTATATTTAAGTCGAAGTCAATGTGGCTATCAAAATGGAAAAGTTTTGGTAAGTGTATATACATAGTTTCAAAATCTGTAATTGTCAACATCTGTAACTGTAAACATGTTATTATGATAGATATGCTGCCCTGATCGTTTTCGTACGGTACAACCAATAACATCAGCATCAGCAGCGCCCGCCCCGTCTTACGTTAGTAACATTTTACCGCAACCAGGACAATGTGGCAATGTCTTATCAAATCGTATCTATGGTGGTAATAAAACAAAGATTGATGAATTTCCATGGATGGCGTTGATTGAGTATACCAAAGGTAAGACTTCGTGTCAAATTCTATTTCATTTCGATCAAAATACATTTTAATACAAGATTTTTTAATAATTTAATTCCGTAAAATTAACAAATAAATATCAAATGTTAGAGTTGAACCCTGGTTGTTTATATTAAAATCGAAAGCGAGAATTTGGTCCTCGAATACTTTTAGCTGCTTATTATGTAGAATCCACATGATCCGCAAATCCATTTTTTCCCAACAAAATATTTTTGCACTATTTTTTTTAATTCAATGAATTGCACTCTGAATTACACAGATTCGAAATATGTAAAATATGAGTCCATATTTTCCATCAAGATTTTTTGATTCTAAGTTTTCAGCATGATAGAAGAATGCTGGGACAATGAAGTGTTAAACCAATTTTGGAATTGAAATTTTTGAATGAAAAATTATTCAAATTTGTAAAAATTGTTAAAAAAATGGATATCATAACAAACTCCGATAGGCGTCCTATAGGAAAACATATAAGAATCTACTTATTTTATCTACCTGTATTCTTATATCATGGTTTTCATTCTAATTTGAAGTTTCATGCAACTACCCATCATGTAAAGATACCACTCAATTTAATAAAATGCAATACTTGTTTCCTGTCATTCTTCAAAATATATTAACATGCAATAAAATATGTTTCTTATTCTTTAAATATTTTTATAGGAAGTAGTGGCAAAGGTCACCATTGTGGTGGTTCCCTCATCAATAGCCGTTACGTTCTTACTGCCTCCCATTGTGTCAATGGCAAGTCTATACCCTCCCATTGGCGTCTAACAGCCGTTCGATTGGGTGAATGGAATCTAAAAACAAATCCAGATTGTGAAATAGATATACGTGGTGAGAAAGACTGTGCACCCGAATATATTGATGTGCGGGTTGAACGTGCCATACCACATCCTCTCTATGATCCGAATTCAAGAAATCAAGCCAATGACATTGCACTGCTGCGTTTGGAACGTAATGTTCAATTTACTGACTTTATTAGTCCTATATGTTTGCCAATTAGTTCCAGTCTTAGATCGGCAACATTTGATGGTATTGTCATGGATGTGGCCGGTTGGGGTAAAACCGAGAACATGTCTGTTTCGGATCTAAAGTTGAAGGCCTCGGTAACAGGACAAGGAATAAATGAGTGCCGTTCGGTATATATGCGGCAAAATATCATTCTTGAAGATTCGCAAATTTGTGCTGGTGGCCAAGAAGGCATTGATTCATGTCGTGGTGACTCTGGTGGACCTCTAATAAGTTTAGACACTACAAATAGGTAAACGTTAAATTGCAATTCGCTCAAAATAATATTTTATTAAACATTTTTTTTTCAAGGGTACGAGCCTATTATTTCTTGGCTGGCGTTGTATCGTTTGGACCCACACCCTGTGGCTTGGAAGGTTGGCCAGGAATTTATACACGAGTAGGAAGTTTCATAGACTGGATCACTCGAAATGTTGAGCCATAATACTCAGTTTTTAGATGAACGGTTGATGAATATTTAGTGTTTTAAGTATCTGTTTTGTATTCTGAGCTGTAAATAATGTTTTATTGAAAGAAAAACAATTGTTTTGAAAACACTTTGTTAATAAACTTTGGACTATCCTTATATCACAAGGAAGCAAATCTTTTTATATTAGCACTGGATAAGTTGTGGAAAATAACTCTAGCATGATTTTTTTACAAAAATCACAAAATAATAACTATTGACCAGAAAAACCCACAAGGGAATGCTTCAACCACAACTTCAAACCACACATTTATGTTCTATATTTTAAAATTTCCTCTAAGAAACACAAGTCATGATCAATTTGGTTGGAAAATATGTTTAAAGGGTGCCTTAATATACTGTGGGCTTGACAAAAATTGAAAATGACAGTCAAGCCTTGCATAAGATAATGCTTGAGATGATTTTCTTTCTGACATGAATCATCGGCTGGGTCATTCGTAATAGAACAAAGAATTTCTGGATAATGAGGGTTAATCCGAACGTACCTTTAAGATGAAAATACATGTTGTTTTCGTAAAAGAGCAAAAGAAGCTTTAAGTTGACTTAGTTCGATTTTTGGCCCATAATTTATACTTTTTCACTATACGAGTACTTGTTCTTTTACACAGAAGCCACCCGATAACTTAAGCCAGCTCTTTATGTACCTGCACCGTTGTAAAAAAAATAATAGAAAAATGTCATGCCGGCAAATGGAATGTGGTACCGACTATTAATTTGAACATTTCAACAATTTAACCAAAACTAATTAAACTCTTAAAATCTATTTTTGAAGTTGTTTGGTGTTGCAAAATAGTCAGGCTTTATCCCATCATTATTGTTTTTAAATAAAAAAACATTACCATCTAATAAAGAGTCGTTGTTTGTTTTATAAAAACAATAACAATGGGATTAAGCCTGACTATTTTGCAACAAAAAAAATCTACGGTATCTCGAACAAACATGTCTACAATGCTCGATGAGCAAATCCTTATAGTGACGACTGCTGGTACACTTAGCATATAATCTCTTACGTCGGTTACATATTCACCCCTACTCTGTAAGACGTCGTCGACAGCTAACGTCGACGCCTTGTGTCGCCGTGTTAATTTTGGCACCCCTGAAGTCGTGTCGACAGCAGACGACGAGAACTTGGTACTCTCTAAGGCGTTTATACAACCATGTTGAGTCGACTCGACTTACTTTTGGGCGTTACGGTTTTTCTGCACGCCTTGTGACGCCTTGATACAAACAACTGTGTTTTCATTGATTTGTAAGTTGGTGAAAAAAAGAAAATGGAGAAAAAATTAAAAATTACAAATGGAACGCAATTTGATTGCTTAATAAAAGAACTTGGGAAAACCCCAAGCCTTGCGATTGTTGAGCCAAACCGAGATGCATGTCATTTCCAACACTCAACTGGTATGACCCCTGTGCCAAAAAGCGTAAAGTTGTAGCCAACTTTATTGTGGTGGACACAGAAGTTGACCGAATACTTTTCTTCATTTTCGGCTCAATAGTCTCAAGCAAGTATTTAAATGCTGCTTTATTGATGCGAAAATGGTTTTGAAACCTGTAGATAAATGATATATTTTATGAATGGCATGTATCATGACCCAAAATATAAAAATTATAAAACTTACTTGATATGTGGTAGGTTAAATATATCTGACCTTTGCCTTATAATTTTTCTTTGTATACGAAGCCTTTTTTTCTGTTCTTCATCACTAGAACTTTCATCAAGAAAATAAATCATTTTACCAAACAAATTGAAGAAAATTTTCTTTATTCGATAGGGATTACACTTTTTGGTGGTAAATTATCGATACGCAGGCGTCACTGGCCGCGACGTCTTACAAAGTACCAATTTTGCATTCATGTGACAACGCCGACGTCAACGAGTGACAACGACTTTGAGACGACGACGCCTTTGGCGACGACTTATAGAGTAGGGGTGATTGTATACAATTTTCAGTTTTTAGTAGTACCAGTAATTTCCGATTCTATCCTCAACATAGTTTATTATTTCTCATCAGAACGATGTAGTAAAATGAACATAACACCCTAACATATATACACATATAACATACAACAGAAAATTGATTAGAATTAACAATTTTATTTTTTAACCAATTTTTAACATTTGTAATGTTTATAACAAGTTTCATTTCTTAGCTTCTTGAGTGTTGGTTTCGTTCGTTGTTCCAAACAAAGGTTCTGAGGGCAATTTCCAAAATTCATAAACATATGGTAAACGTTCACTAGGGTCAGTGCTCCAATGATGAATTCGACATTTAAGGCGAGCTTTTTCCAAGTTGTTGATAGTAATGGTACAATAGAATTCTTTACCCTCCTTATTTAGATCAGGGCCTTCAATTGGTTCCTTGGGAATAGTTATACATTCTTCTTGGCATATGTAACCTGCCTTGCGTAAGGATGCTTTAATATGCCATGGCTCAATAACCCAGGGGTGATCTTTATTCATGACAACAGCCAAATTTAAACTCTCCAGCATGTTCACAGTCTATTTGTATTTGAGAATATGTGACTTAATATCAATTACGAAATTTATTTGTACTAATATTTACCCTTTGAGCAAATGGAGAACTATGTTCAAGATCAGTTTTTTCATTATCTTTACGTCCATACAGGGCAAGGTTCTCCTCAGTTTTATATACAGCTAAGCCGGGTAACAAGAGCTTGTTGTAGGCAAAATTTGATTTCACAGAAACCACATCACCTTTGGCTCCAACGCCTTCAACGAAAGTTTTCAGAACCACTTCAATATTTTTCTGTTTCTTCGTCGCGGTATCCTCAACCAGTTCATAGATATGATGTCTGCCTCTCAATTTTTTGGGTGCTTGATTCTTCTTATGTAGAGGTGGTTCATATTTGCGTTTAAGAATGAATGTTGTCTAATTGGGAAGGGAAAATTTAATACCAAATTTTTGCATATTTTAGAATGGCAATTACTTACACGAACTTGCTGTTGTAAACTTGCACAAGTTTTCAACAGATTTACTTGTTGTTTGCACACATTTCTTAACATTTTTACTTATATTTTAAGAATTTTATTGAAACTTAAAACTTATTTCTCTCGTAATCCCCACAATGAATGCGGTGTCGAAAACAGAGATGAAAGAATGAGGTAGAATGAAGGAAATTATGCAAGATAAAAAGTATTGCCAGATCAAAGTAAATGTTGCGGGCAGAGGAATTGCCAACCTAATTTGTACATTACAGTCGATCAAAAAAATATTGCAAAAAGTTAGGATTACTTTAAAATTGTCTTGAGATATATACAGTGATATAATATAATTTAAAGCCAGAAAACACTATTTTGTGTGAATGCCGACGCGTGATATTTTGCACGATATCTTTAAACTTTTATCAATCAGAAAGATCTAAAAACAAATCGAGTTTTAAATTAAAAAGTGCGAAAAATATCGAATAAACAAAATAAGTTATCACAAGATTCCAACTTGAGAGTAGTGTTTATTAAATTCGGTCAATGATTGATTTTATCATATTTTGAAAACAAATAACGTCTATTTTGTTATACAATTTGACAAAACCAAACCAGTAAAGAAAGTCTTAAAGTCGGGCGTGGCCGATAATTTAAAGTTCAAAGGACTTAATATGCCGAAGCATTTGTATCTTTTAAATTCGGACTTGTATTGCCCATTTAATGCACAATTAATTTCAAATCGGATAAAGATATATATGGGAGCTATATCCAAATCTGAACCGATCTCGGGAAAAATTTGGCAAAGATATTTCTGAGCTGTATGTGATATATTTCCCTGAATAATGTTGTTACGGAGTGCATATTACGGCTGTGAGTAACAAATATAACAAATCGGATGAACAATATATATGGGAGCTATAGCTATATCTGAATCGATTTCGATCAAATTTGGCATACATATTTTCAGGCCTAATTTGGGTGTATATGCAAAATTCCATACAATTCGGGCTGATATTACACGCTTGGTGCACAATAAAAGCCAAATCGGACGAAGATATATATGGGAGCTATATCTAATTTTTTACCGATTATCTCCAATCTCAATAGGGATCGTCCTTGGTCCAAACAAATTAGTTGTACAAATTTTCATCTTGATCGGCCAATAAATGCGAACTGTACTTTGTTTACAAAAATACATGGACAGGCGGACGGACATGCATAAATCGACTCAGAATGTGATTCTATGTAGATCATCAAAAGGAACTATGGGTCTATCTCGTTTCCTTTTTCTGTTACAAAGAAATGCACAAAGACATAATACCCTGACCACCTTGTGGTGTAGGGTATAAAAAACAGATGAAAATAAACTCACCCATCTTAAGCGATCAACCTTGAAAATTTACTTCCGCCATTACTACCTACGAAAATTGACACAATTGACACTTCTTGTGTAATTTTTTGCACATTGAAAAAAATTCATAACATCTGCATTACAATCTTTTAAGATAACATCTGCTCTTGTTTGATAATCCTTTTAATACCATATAGCTGCTTGGGTTAACGCACTCAAATGACCTAGAATGAAAATATTTTGTTACCTGGTCAATAGAGGACAATTCGTTAATTATCAAAGACAAATATAGATATATAATTTCAATTTAGGTTTTATTTTTAGAATTTTTTACCATATAAATAAGAAAGTTGATATGATAACTCGTCAATAGTTAGGACAAAAATAAGCATTTTTAGAGACCTATTTTGATAGGAAATGAAAGTAGATCTTACAAACGTTGTATTGGAAAACTTAAATTATTTTTGCTACGTGTGTGAAGAAAAAAAGAAAATCGATACCAAAGTAAAATGTATGTAATAGATATGGTATGGAATCTATTACCTTTTATACTTATACATATTTCTACAAACAAATCGTAAAATACTTATAATCGTAATATATCATATTAGCTGCACTGGAAACAAATCATAAAATTATAACCTTACAACTTAAAAAGTATTAGCCGGTTTTGCCGACAGATGTACACCCTCAACTATTGTCAATTTTTATACCCTCCACCATGGTATGAAAGGTATATAAAGTTTGCATGGAGGGTATATTAACACTTCGAAATATACGTTTTAGACCCCATACATACTGTGTTAGTAATACAAGGGCTACATTCGGTATTTTTTAAGATTTGAGCAGAAATTTTCACGGATTATATTTATTTATTCATTTTTTTTTTTCAAAATTGCCAAATTCGTTCCAAGCGGTGGAGGGTATTCAAAGTCATACCAAGTTTGAATAGAATCGCTGATTTGTTTTGGGATATTTTGCAGATATTTTGTGATATTTTGCAGTGGAGGTATCAGAAAATGTAGGCCGATATCTACAATATTTATTTATTTATCTTGTGATAGTAAAAATATTGATGTGTGAAATTTGAAGAGAATAGGATAGTTTTTCGTAAATTGTGAGAGATATAAAATGTTACGATGTGGGAATAGAATCGGATCCCTATTTCCCTTTGTGTGGGAGGAACATAATGGAGTGCGTCGATATTGTCCATTTGACATAGCACTAATAAAAATATTGTGGTTTGCTAAAGTTTGCACAGAATTGGATGATTCTTATTTTAAATTATTTTCTATGAAATGTTGATCTTCGAACTCGATCTAAGTTTGACAATAAACTTACGAGTACCAAGGTTGGATTATATCGGATGCTCCATTCGAGAGTTATCGTGCGCACCAGCCAGTCTAACAGACGGACGGACGGACACCCCTAGACCTATGGTCTAAAGCTGTTATTTCGATAATGCACGTTTTGGCCTTATTAAATGATAAATACACTCTGTAGCCATATGAGAGAGGATATAAAAACTGGATAAACTTGTGATTTCCTTCTGTCTAAAAAATGAGTGGAATCACTTTTTCATTAGATGTATTTAATTAACGCCTTTGCGCTTAACTTGAAACATCAACGTACTGTTGGGTGGGATGGTTGATCCATAGGCCATATGTGGCGGACAAGTAATGCGACGTTTACCACTAACTTTTATACCTGCGACGAAGAGCTTGTGATGGGTTTTACCTCCTGTGGTATAATATTGCCTAAGGGTACGTCCAGGTATTCCGCATTTTTGATTGATTTAAAATTCAATATTTTTATTTCTTATGGGTTCTACCTCCGGTATCAGAACATTGTCCGTATTGTTCCATTGGTTTCTATTTAATGGTACCCACCGATATTCGGGTTTGTGATGATTCTAGAAAAATTTTCAAAATTGCCAGTCACTCGTGCTTCAAATTCTACAATTTTTTATCAAATCTGCCGCAAAATAGAGTAATTACAAAAAGAAGTCATTAAATGGAACGATAAACGGTCAGTATAGAAGCAATTATGTCGATGTTGTTATTATTCTTCTCTCGAAATGTTGTGAAACCAATGAGCTGCTACATCTAATTTGTATACATATTAAAATAATAAAGAATTGCATTCCTAAGCAACTATCCCAGAGATGCGTTTCTTTAACTATATTGTGACATATTCCTTATAACGGCTACTTCCAATATTTTGCAGCTGCTTTTAAATGCACTGTTACAAAAGCAGATGGAAATAAAACCAAACAATGTTTACTACCTTCGTTCATTAAAGCAGATTCTTAACATCTGCAAAATATCTTATGATAACATTCGCACAACTTTAATATCATTGTGCCCAAATGTCGTTCTAGAAAATCGACCATGAATAAAAATATCTTGCTACCTGGTCAATGAAGGGTAATTTGGTTAATTATAAAAATATTTCAGAGACAAATATATACAATTTCAATTTAGGTTTTATTTTAAGAATTATTTGTAATATAAACAAGAGAGTTGATATGATAACTCATTAATAGTTAGAACGAAAACAAGAAATTCTTAGAGACTTATTTTGGTAGGAAATGAAAGTAGATCTAACAAGCGTTGTATTGGAAAACTTAACTTCTTTTTGCTGTGTTTGTGAAGAAAAAAATGTGAAAAGATACTAAAGTAAAATGCAGAGAAACTATAGGCATGGAAAATATTTCCTTTTATACTACTTAAAAGATTTCTACAAAAAATCGTAAAATATTTATAATTGTAATATAGCGTATTAGCTGTACTGGAAACAAATCATAAAATGATAAACTAAAAACTGGATAAACTTGTGATTTCCTTCTGTGTAAAAATGGAGTGGAATTACTTATTCATTAGATATATTTAATTAACGCCTTTGAGCTCAACCTCAAACACCAACGTGCTGTTGGGTGGGATGGTTGGAGGAGAACCACGTGCTCCATAGGCCATGTGTGGAGGACAAGTAATGCGACGTTTACCACCAACTTTCATACCAGCGACACCGACATCCCAGCCCTTGATAACTTCGCCACGGCCCAAGCCGAATTTGAATCCAGCGCCTGTTTTCAAACTATCGAAAACTTTGTTGTTCGACAATAAACGACCCTCATAATAGACTTGGGCACGTTTACCGGGTTTGGCTTCGGGTCCATTGCCAACACGAATATCAACAACTTTAACACCGCCGGTAAGAGAACGTTCGGCTCCTGTCTTTTGTTGTTTATCTTGTTTATTCTGTTGTTGCTGTTGTTGTTCTGCTGCTTTTTTCTGTTCCTTCTTTTCTTTCTTTGACTTTTTCTCGGCTTGAGGCTGTTCCTTCGGTTTGGCAACTCCATTTTGTTGTTTCTCAGGCTTGTCCAACTTGGGTTGTTTGGCCTTTGGTTGCTGGACTTCTTCATCATCAGAGTCATCCTCTTCATCTTCCTCATCGTCATCATCCTCCTCCTCATCATCGTCATCTTCATCTTGTTCATCATCATCTTCGGCGTCATCATCATCACCGGGATTTTCAACATCGAAGTCGCTATCATCCTCATCATCGTCGTCGTCTTCCTCTTCAGCTGCTGCTACTGCCTTTTTGGCCTTTCCTTTGTCGGCTTTCTTGTTTTTCTGTGCCTTCTTGGCATTCAAGGCTTCGCGCAAATCTTGCTCCTCATCGGAATCGACTTCCTCATCTTCTTCCTCTTCTTCATCACCATTCATGAAATCGTCATCAGCCATATCATCTTCAATGACATAGCCTGACAAGGCAACATTGCCACTTCCAACACTTTGGAAACAGATTTCATTCCCAGCAGCGAAGTTCAAGTCAAGCATAACTTGCTCACAAACCTCTTTGCGCAATGTACATATCAGAAACCGTTGGTTTTCGCTGCTAATCCAAATTTGCGTGGGGCCGCCCTGCGAAGATTCGGAATCCAAAGCAGCTTGTGAAATGTGGAAGGTTTTCTCTGTTGTTTGTGAGTATTTGCGATTAGGTTTTAAATTAAGACCTACAAAGAAAGCGAAATAGATAACATTTTATGTTAAAATAGTATCGAACTAAAACTGAATGTATTGTTGGCCACGAATCATGGATAACACGTGGTGAACACAACACATGTTGGTTTTTCATTTCTACTATTCTTAATTTTTCCATTTTTAACTTACCCCAGAACATCTTGGAAATATTGTTATGTTTGTGATTTAAGAAATAAGAAGTAATTTTCTTAGAATTCCTTTTTTGCGAGAAAACTCAATGTAACTGCTTCCCGAATGCAAATGTAAATGTTGCCGGCACGCTAATTCCCTTAAAGACGAACGAAGGTACAAAAAACAATGACGAGAATTCTAGAGAGAGAGAATACCATGTTGACGGTTTGCATTTCAATTTTGACAGCGCGGACAAAAAATATGACAGTTTGACCTAGTGTAGTAGTAAATACAATAGATGTCGCTGTATACTTAAAGCAGTGCTCACGGTTTCGCAAAATGAATTTATCTAGTCAGGCGTTTACACAAGACAATTCGTCTTGAATGAGATTGAATGTGTCGTTGGCTTTTAATTTATCACGGAACTACGACTGTAAATGCAAGATACAATGTCAACAGAGAGCATTAAAAGTATATCCTCAATGTATTCTCAACCATTATAAAATCTTATTTCTTTCTAAATAAATAATTTCAGGTGATATCAAATAACATATCCTAACATCTAGTCTGGAAAAACAATGTAAAAAAGAATGCGGTAAGTTTTTGTAACTTAAACATAAATTCAGGTATCTTGTCCTTTATAGACGCAGGATAATAGCACATTCATATTAAGTAGTATTTCGTTTGGTTTAGGAAAATTCACATGTGTATAGGTACACAAATAACAGCTGATTGTCATTTAAATTTTTCTCAAAATTGGTGAATATAATAAATGACTGGGTTTTTAAACGTCTTTTCCCATGCTGGTAAGCATCTGTGGCTTAAATTAATAGGTGTGTCTGGTAACCCTAAAATTTGTAACAATTGTTGCAAACTGTTGCTGTAAGTTCTGCAAAAGAGAGCCATTCGAGAGAGAACTTCTTTTGCTTGCAAATTCTTGCTGGACAAATTTCTTCTTGCAAACACTTGCAACTCTTCTTCTTCTCCTTCCGGAGATGTATATTTGGGCATGACATTTAACCCATTTTTATGAAAAACTCAATTAAAAGGTAGGACAGAATGATTAAATTTGAAAAACACATTATTTGACACTTTTCATCATTTTAATTTAAGAACAAAAAAAAAAATAGCGAAAATTAAGTGAGATGACGAGAGGTTTTCACAATCGTTGATCCAGTCTATCGCAACATTGGAGAAAAACTTGGTCAGAAAACAATTAATTTCATTTTTAATTTTCAAGCAATTATTAAAAAAATATTAGACCAGTTGATTGACATTTAACATTGTCATTGGCTATTCTATACATGTCGTATTGGTTTAAAATGACTAGTCTAAACGGCGGTTCGTAAAACTATTGAAATACAATCCCGAGGCTACCCCCGCTTCCTGGCAGAATTATTCAAAATTAGGCGCAGCATGTTGTATATCCAATGAGTTCAAAAAAAATTGTTTTATGGCCTGTTCCAGAATTGTAATGTAAAAGTTTTTACTACGCATGGCCTAATTATAAGGTCGACCAGAAGGCAAATTCCCTAAAAACACAACTCTTAGGCTAGAAATACATAAAGAGCTTGAAGTCATGGCTAGGCATATTTTGTGACATTTCATAAAGGGATTACAGAGCCGCACCAAAATCCTGCCGTCGTTTTCCATTATAGTTTGACATTAATATGCCTAGCCATGACTTCAAGCTTGTTATGTACTTAGCCCTTTACACCTACAAGTATTTTCAAAAATTGTTATTATCACCTTGACATAGCAGCGAATTCATTATTTGTCAATTCTGACAATATTTATATTAAGTATAAATATTCTACAAAATTGGTCTGTTCCAGAACTGCAATAATGTAAAACTTTTTACTACGATAACAGATTTTCCCTCTACGAAATCGAAAAAAAAAATCGCAAAACTAGTAGATTCTTGCAAGTTCTGGAACGGACCAAATAACTTTGTTTAAGGCCAATCTCCATGGTAGAAGAATACAGGTAGTCGCTTCGACACAGCTGCTGGGACAATGAATTGTCAAACCGATTTTGGAATTGAAAATGTTGAATGAAAAATTATTAAAATTTGTAAAAATTGTTGAGAAATGTGTATTGTAACAACCTCCGATTTGCATAGTATAAGAAAATATATAAAAATCTACTTATTTTTGACAAAACCATTTTAAAATTTTGACATATCAATGTTCGCATTGCGTTGATGCATCTACATATATACTTTTACCATGGCCAATCTCGTAATATTTTACATATTTACCATATCACACGTAGCCTTAAAGGTCCTGAATACAGCTTTATCAGTTTTTTTTGTTTTTGCTGAAGCCAATATGTGCAAAGTGTGCTTTCTGTAATTGTGCCATGGACGTAGCAATACATATGAACCTACGTACTTCACTACCAATCTTCATTGAAATTGGATATACATTGCGTGTTTGGCGCATAAAATACATGACGTCGGTGGGAAAATATACATGGGAACGGAACCGATTTCAATATAACTATATAAATGACTTATCGTAGCAATTTCCATATATCATTTCAAATTTCATTGGAATCTGACATACACAGCGTTTTTGGTGCATCAAATACATTAATTCGGACGAAAATATATATAGAAGCTATACCAAAATCTGAACCAATTTCAATATAATTTATTTCTGTTCTAAATTCTGTTATACATTCCAAATTTAAAGACTGTATCTGTGATCGATCAAAAGATAAAATCATACAAAATCTAAATGTTTTGGTGGTACCTTCGATTCTGATGCTATATCTGCATTTCTAAGTGGACTTTCAAAAATTTATATTGTCTATTTTAATTTCAGGCGCTACTGCAGTATATTTGGGAATTTCCAGGAAAATCTGTTCAGCTGTTTTAAACAAACACACAATCAAACGTACAAACATTTTCCTCATTTATAGATATAGACCTGCCATGATTATTTCTTTTATCATGTTTGGAAGCTATATCCAATCTGAACCGATCTCGATAAAATTTTGCAGAAGTATTTCTGTCCATTATAAAATATCTGGTACAAAATATTATTGTTCAGCTATATCTGAATCGATTTTTACTTAATTGGAAGTACTTGTTTCTAGGATGAATTCAGTCGGAATTGCCAAGATTCAGTTTATTTCGAATGATATTAGAGATTTGCTGCACAATAAACCTAATAACGGATCAAGATATATATTGAGCTATTTCAAAATCTGATCCGATCTCGATAAAATTTGACAGAGGTATTTATGGGCTGTATCTGATATCTGGTACCAAATATTATTCTTGTGGAGTGCATATTACGCATGTGAGGGATTTAAACCAAAACGGCCAATACCAGTACCAAATTTTTGCACACGCGACCGAATTCATTATAGAAGCAAGTACATCAAATTTGGTGAAAATCGGTTCAAATATAGCTATATCCATGGTACTATATCAATGGAGGTTGAACAGCTTCGTAAAACTACAGAAATACAGCCCTGAGACTATGCTAGCTTCTTGTCAAATTTTTATGCAACAAGTTGTTTTCAATTACTCACTATTTTTCCTCCTTTTTAAAAAATGTTAAACAGCGGGAAAAATGAATTCAAAAATATGATCTAAACAGTTCTGTTTTTCAATTTCATGGCAAAACTGGCGAATAGCTTTAATGTGCGTCTCGCAATTCATGCGTTTTCCAATCATTGATTTTGAAAATATTCTGTTTTTATTTTTCAAAACAATAAATACATACACAAAATTGGCAGAAGTCGAGTAAACTTAGAAAACAAGTTGTAATCAGCTGTTAGCTCTACCTCATCTTTTTATTGTACCATGGCTTTATCTCTCATATATATGTTTCATCCGTTTTGGTGTTTGTCCCTCACTTTAGTAATATGCATTCAGCGACAATGATATTTCGTCTTATAGAGCTCGGAAATATCTTTGCCAAATTTTATCGAGATCGGCTAAGATTTCGATATAGCTCCCATATATATCCTTAATTCGATTTCATGTTTATTGTGCAAATAATGGCCAATATCTGCCCAAATTGAATGAATTTCGGGACGTACGTTTCCATTTTGTGGAACTCGGCTTCGATATATATTTTTTTAATATAATCCTTTTGTTTTGTTATTTGGTATAAAATATTAAAATGTCTCCGTCAAATTTAGTGAAAATCGATTCAAAATTGGATATGCCTCCCATATATTAGTTCCCTTTGAAACCATACTATAACTCATGGTACAATGAATTCAAGGTAGGGCAGAACTACCATATGATTTCAATTTTTTTTATTTTTCTGGCTTAATATGTCAACATCATTTGTTTATGTGTGCGTATTCTTTTCAATAATAAAAAAATTGTTCAGAAAATGTTCAAATTCTGGTGTTTTCACAATGCTTATTGCAACGTATGCATCGACAAAGTCTTCAGTTTTTGTCGCGAAATAAACCATAAGAGATATATAGAACCTGATTTTGAAAAGAAGTGTTGACCTTTCATTCAGTTATCGCGGTTTTCAATTATTTATTCCAAATAAATGCAACAAGTTGTTTGATTTTTTATTGTTTTGATACTAATTCTGACATTACAAGCCAAACAGGTAGACCTCTATACTTGCAATTTTTTCAAAGTTGACCTACCTTCTCTTCATTGTACCATGCTATAACTGCTCAAAGCCAAATGTTGATAGGTGGTATCATGGTACAATGAAGAGAAGGTAGGCCAACTTTGAAAAAATTGCAAGTATAGAGGTCTATCTGTTTGGCTTGTAATGTCAGAATTAGTATCAAAACAATAAAAAATCAAACAACTTGCTGCATTTATTTTGAATAAATAATTGAAAAACGCGATAACTGAATGAAAGGTCAACACTTCTTTTCAAAATCATGTTCTATAGGATTATTTCGCTACAAAAACTCTAGATTTTGTCGATGCATACGTTGAAATAAACATTTTAACATCCGAATTTGAATATTTTCTGAACAATTTTTTTGTTATTGAAAAGAAAACACATACATAAACAAATAAAGATGACATATTAAGCCAAGAAAATAAAAATATTAAAATCATATGGTATCATAGCCCTACCTTGATATCATTGTACCATGGGTGGTATGATCTACTTCAATTAAATTCTTTTGTTACGGGAGCTCTACTAAATATTCATAGTGGTGTAGGGTATCTATAATCGGCCCGCCCGATTTTTGACTTTTCTTTACTGGTTTTGTCTAAAACTTTGACATGCTTTAAAACATAAAACCAGCATTCTGAAAGTGCTTTAAATCAACGTAATAGATTTAATTTTTAAAGGTTAAATTTTATTTTCAATATAAGAGACAATATTTTTTCTGATATATTTGGCCAAGTAATACGACTATCTAATCTAGTTGAAATCCAGCATTTCGACTTTAATCTTTAATTTATCTTTTTCCTTGTAGGGATTCCTTCCTCTTTAACTTCATTTTAGTAATTAACTTTTACTTTCTCTGACCAAATAAATATAGAGAGGTCATATTTTCACTTTCTCTTCAATGGTCTGTTTGTCCTTCTCAACAGGACAAATCAACAGTTGGTCCTTACAAATTGTGTCAATATTTGACATTACTTTCTACACACACGCTAGAGAGAGTGAAAAGCTCTTTGCCAAAAGCTTTTTCATGGTGATGCATGGGGAAAACACTGACGGAAAGGATTCGTATGGCAGTAATTGAGTCACACGTAGATACTTTATTCTAGAGAAAGGTTCGAAACAAAAAACGCAGTTATACAGCAAACCCCATAAAAAAAAAAAATAATTTAAGAAAAACAAATATTTCTAGTTAAATAGTATTTAGTGTATAAATATTAGTGTAAATTTCATGTTAATAATTCACAAATTATCAAATGTTGGTTCATTTTAATGCTTTGGAAAACACAAATGTTACGTGAAAAGTGTAAAAGTTTCGAGCATTTACAACCCGATTAAGTTGTATGGAAAGTTGAATAAATCTGTGAAAAGTTGCAGTTTTTATACGAAAATTTTCAATGAAAATTACGCTTAAAGAATTCCCATAACAAATACAAAACGGAAAGAATTCATTTGAAGTCAAATCGCTAGAAATTGTGACAAATCAGAAAATATCCTGCCTTTGTTAGAAGTGAAAGTGATTAGTGAAAAGGTAACAACACATACGTATATATACAGAAATGGTCATTGTGAGAAACGCATTAACGAATCCAGATGAAAATATGTGAAAAATCGATATTCTTCTTTACCCATTCCATTACATACTTTATCGTCCTTTTTTTGGGGTTTTCCTATTTTTTCTTTGATTCATTGAAAAAGTTTTCGAAAAGCTTTCGCTCTCTCCCTCTCTCATGTTGGTATATTATATTTTCATTTTAGTTGGAATTTTTCATTTGTTTTGCTATGTTATTTTGTAAACACCGGTTGTAATCATTTGCAGTTGGAATGAATGGTAGTAAAATCCTCCCCATTCCATTTCCTATCATATATGTATGTTCTCATTTTGGAGATATTATTTAAATTTTATTTGTAATCATTTTTTGATGCCAAAAGTAAACAGATGTTGTTTTCAATTTAATTTAAAACTCATATTTCATTTGCAGTTTCGGAAATGATAGTAACTTCGAATGTGGATAACTACGCATTAAATGGTAAGTTCATGTATATACAAATAGAGATTAGAACGTCATAGTAAACTAAAACCACAATATTTTTTGAAACTGTCATAAAGCTCACTTGAAATATTGAAAACATTTATCAAATTATATAAAATAACACTAACTTACAATAAAATCGCACATCAATGAAAGTGGTATTTGTGGGTCATAATGGTTTCCAGCTCCGGTGGCGGAACATTACATGTATGGGTCCATAATTTGGTATAGTCCCCATATAACGGTACCTCCCGATATTCGGTATTTTGATGATTTATGCCACATTTTTTCACGGATTTGTCTTAAAATTGGTATTTGTAGGTCATAACGGGTCCCTGAGCGTGTGGCAAAACATTGCATGTATAGGTCCACGTTGTGGTATAGCCCCCATATAAAGGTACCTCCCGATATTTAGTATTTTAGTTTTTTTTACCACATTTTTTCACGGATTTGTCTGAAAATCGGTATTTGTTGGTCATAATGGGTTCCAGCTCCGGTGGCGAAACATTGTAATTATAGGTCCACGTTTTGGTATAGCCCCCATATAACGGTACCTCCCGATATTCGGTAATTTGATGATTTTTGCCACATTTTTTCAGGGATTTGTTCGAAAATTGGTATTTGTTGGTCATAATTGGTTCCAGCTTCGGTGGCGAAACATTGCATGCATGGGTCCATGATTTGATATAGCCCCCATATAACGGTACCTCCCGATATTCGGTATTTTGATGGTTTTTGCGACATTTTTTCACTGATTTGTCTAAAAATTGGTATTTGTGGGTCATAATGGGTTCCAGCTCCGGTGGCGAAACATTGTAATTATAGGTCCACGTTTTGGTATAGCCCCCATATAACGGTACCTCCCCATAATCGGCATTTTAATGGTTTTTGCCACATTTCTTCTAATGTTTCTTTTACCCTAAGGTGGAGGGTATTAAAAGTTTGGCCCGGCCGAACTTAATGTTTTTTTACTTGTTTAAATTCCACTTGGAACTTAAAATAGCATCAGAATTGGAGGTATTTCCAGAAAATTTAGTTTAGATACAGTACTCAAATTTGGAATGTGAGAGGGAATTCGGTACAAAAATGAATTTTCCAAATTATAATGAAATCAGGTCAGATTTGGATATAACTCCCATATATATTTGATAGACCAAACACACTATGTATCTCTAATTTCAATAAAATTTGAAATTGTAACGGAATCTGGTACAAAAATAAATTTGCCAAATTATATAGAAATCGGTTTAGATTTGGATTTTGCTCCTATATATATTTTTGTTCGATTTCTTGTATTTGATGCACCAAACATCCTATGTGTCTCCAGTTTCAATGAAGTTTGGAATTTGTGACGGAATTTGGTCTACAAATTTTGTCAATTTATATTTAAACCGGTTCAGATTCGGATATTATTTTTTAAGACCCATAACGCTTTGGTAAGAAACTAGGCTAACAGTAAAAAAACTACACAAAAGAACAGTGTGGCTTGTTTGTTCGGGATACCGTAGTATTTTGTTGTTGCAAAATGGTCAGGCTTTATCCCTCCTCGTTCTCCACTAATAAACAAACGTTGTTTTTATAAAAACAACAATAAAGAGATAAAGCCTGACCTTTTTGCAACAACAAAATACTACTGTATCCCGAACAAACAACCCACACTGTTCTATTAATAGACAAGGCATGGTCGACGAAGGGGTTTTTGTTGTAACAGACAACAGGTTGAACGAAAGCATAATAAGTGGAAAAGATGTAAATGTTTATAAGTGCGGTTGTAAGATTTAGAAGACTTTCCAAAAGAATTTTAGTTTTATTTAATTCTTTGGTTCCTCTTCTATTGAGCTTACGATCTCGTCACTTGGGTAAAAAATGTTTTTTGTCATAGAAGTTATTTTTAAAATAACTTCTGGGGAGAATATCCCAGACAAAAAACAAGGGAACTGATGAGGATTGGTGGCTCTTTCCGAAACCTAGGTATTCCCTGCCTTACCCCCTGGTATCGTTCTCCACTAATAAGCAAACGTTGTTATTATAAAAACAACAATAAAGGGATAAAGCCTGACCATTTTGCAACAACAAAACTACACAACAATTTAATTGAGGGTACAAGTACAGGGTTGCACATATTCGACGGACCCATGACTCTTTGGGCCCATTCCAATCGACGAGGCTTGTCCGCAGGCAACATTCTTTGCGTCAATTGCATTTTGTACGGGATCAAATGCAAATCAATGCGAATAATCCGTTGTAAAGTGGACCGAGCCATGCCCAACTGCTGAGAACGGCGTTTTTAGGATGTTCTTGGGGACCTCTCAACACTGGCTCGTATGGCAGCGATATTCTCAGCCGATCGCCTTGGTCGACTTTTATATGGCCTCTTCGGATTAGAAAGAGCCTTACCAGTCGAAAATGTTTCGTATAAACGCTTAATGGTGTTCTTAGAAGGTGCACTTCTCACATTTTTTTGGTTATATTTCCCCTATATATATCTTGGTCTGATTTCACATCAATTGAGCACCAGATTTGTCCAAATAAAATCAATTTCAGCACATAAGGTGAAATTAAACCTAAAATTAAGACTGCCAAAATTGGCGAAATCAGTTCGGGTGTAGCTATAACTGTATACATATATTTTTTTTAACTTCAAATTCCAAAACCATGATATTCGGCACAACATATCCCACACAGCCTCGAACAACCTCTTTCAACTTTTGTCTCTCCTCGGATCAGATTTATATGTTACACCCATACATAATCAGTTAATCCGATTTACTTTTTACCTCTTTCCAAAGTGAATATAGGGTGTTACCGTTTTATTGGGACATATACGAAGATGTGGACCTGTATACTCAATTTTTGTAATGAACCATTACGATTTTCAAATACGAAACTTGAAACAATTCCGGTGATGAATGTTGGTAAATTAATCAAAATACTGAATATAGGGAGGTACCGTTATATTGGATCTATACTCGTACGAAGATGTACATGGACCATTTTCAGTCACAAGCTGTAGTACCCATTACGAACTTCAAATACTACTGGATAATGTCGCTAAAAACAGGAAGTACCGTTATATGGAGGCTATACAAAGACTTGGACCTCTCTGAGTAATTTTTGTCATAGAAGTTCCAAATTTGAAACATATCCGGGGAATGGTGTGACACAAATCATCAAAATAGCGAATATATGGAGGTAGAGTAATAAGTCGATCATACCAAAAATTTAGACTTATATTGACAGTTCTGTGCATTTCTTACATTATGTAAACATATGCTGTCAATTTACAGCAAATTCTGGTAAAATTGTGAGTAAAATACAAAAAAACCTTAAACGTGGACCAATATGGCCCATTGGCAATACCAAAATGTCCAGACCTAAAACACATTTGATGTCAATCTACTTTATTTCTTTCGAAAGGTAGAGTTATTTCCAGAGACGGAGAAACAGATAACCGACAGACGTAGCATAGACTTTTATGATGATCAAGAATATATATGCTTTATTGGGTCTAAAATTTATATTTCGATGTGTTACAAACGAAATGACAAGCTTAATATACCCTCCATACTATGGTGAAGGGTATAAACAGAACATTCTAATTCTATTGTTCATCTAATGTCCGGTGCGAAAATTGACTTGACTACATACGTGTGTACTATTGTTAGGTGAACTTTTTAGTAACCTAACAGTAAAGTTAACCTTGATAAAAAAGGACATTGACGCATTGGTGGGCTCTTTTACGCTTTGCTCTTCACATTGACAGTTGTTTGAATTCAGTGTTACGATGGGCGGAATTGTTCTAATGCCTTTTATCGGCATATCTCCAAAGCAATTAAACTTAACAAAATAAACATTACTGTCTGACAACGCTATACATAATGACGGTAATTATACGTACTGAAGTCGTTAAAATATTAATATCTAATGTTTCGTATGAAGTACACAAGGCAATAACTGCTTTTAACATTGAATTGAACTGAACTACTAGTACCTGGTATGCGTTCTATTTTTTTAGGTATATTTTTATACAACAAAACTATGTTGCTTTCGAGTCTATTTTTATCGATATTTTCTATATTTAGTAAAGTTACTAAATAATTTTTTTGTTTATTGTTTTGACCATAAAGCCGTATAGATTAATTCAGTTTTCCTGAATTTTTCTCAGTGTATCGATACATTTTCTTAAGGTAATGCAAGAGTTTTTATACCCTACACCACAAGGTGGTCAGGGTATTATGTCTTTGTGCATTTGTTTGTAACAGACAAAAGGAAACGAGATAGACCCATAGATCCTTTTGATGATCTGCATAGAATCACATTTTGAGTCGATTTATGCATGTCCGTCCGTCCGTCTAACCATGTATTTTTGTAAACAAAGTACAGTTCGCATTTATTGCCCTATCCCAAATGCACAAATCATTTGTTTGGCCCAAGGACGATCTCTATTGAAATTGGAGATAATCGGTCAAAATTTAGATATAGCTCCCATATATATCTTCGTCCGATTTGCCTTTTATTATGCACCAAACGTGTAATATCAGTCCGAATAGTATGGAATTTTGTACGTACGATCAGATTGGACCTGAAAATAAGTATTGGTTCAGATTTGGATATAGCTCCCATATATAACTTCGTCCGATTTACCTTTTATTGTGCACCAAACGTCTAAGATTTGTCCAAATGGGATGGAATTTGGCACTCACGACTGAATTGAGTCTAGAAGCTAGTCTGCCAAATTTGGTGATGATCGATACAGATATAGCTATAGCTCCCATATATACTCTTCATCCGATTTGTTATATTTGTTACCCACAGCCGTAATATGCACTCCGTAACAACGATATTCAGAGAAATATATCAAATACAGCTCAGAAATATTTTTGCCAAATTTTATCGAGATCGGTTCAGATTTGGATATAGCTCCCATATATATCTTTATATGATTTCAAATTAATGTTGCACCTAATGGGCAATACAAGTCCGAATTTAAAAGATAG